GTGCCCCACCGCCGCCGCCCGCCTCGCCGCCGCCTCAGGACTGGCTGTATGATTAGGCCACAATCTTCAATGAGTAAACATATTCCTTGCTGTGGTGTTCTCGGTCACACATTTATGGAGTTTCTGAAGGGCAGTGGAGATTACTGCCAGGCACAGCACGACCTCTATGCACACAAGTGAACTGTAGGGACCCATTCCTGCTCCACCGAGAAGCCCCGCGAGAGGCTCACCTGGACACAGAAGTGGTGAATTGAAATCGTAGAGCATTTAACAGGAGTTCTGACCCGGATGGGGTAAACCTTAGTGCACTTCCTTTCTCTTGCCTCAGTATTACTGGACTGAAGGATTGCGGCTTCTTAGGAGGTTCATTTCATTTCCCGGTACTCACTCCCAAGGCCATACTCAAAGCACTGAGATGTTCAAGTGAAATATATTGAAGTAGAATTCAATTTCTTGCATCATTTCTATTCAAGTTTTTAAATCTTTCATAATCCTCGTTGAGTGTTGTTTTTTTTTGTTTTGTTTTGTTTTGTTTTGTTTTTACTAAATTAACATGGCTCGAATGAACCACCCCGCTCCTGTGGAAGTCACATACAAGAGCAATGAGATTCCTCATTACACACAATCCAACCAATGCAACCTTAAACAAGTTTATAGAGGAATTTAAGAAGTATGAAGTTACCACAATAGTCAGAGTATGTGAAGCAATGTATGACACTACTCTTGTGGAGAAGGAAGGCATCCATGTTTTTGACTGGCCCTTTGATGATGGTGCACCACCGTCCAACCAGATTGTTGATGACTGGTTAAATCTTGTAAAAATTAAGTTTTGTGAAGAACCTGGTTGTTGTATTGCTGTCCATTGTGTTGCAGGCCTTGGGAGAGCTCCAGTGCTTGTTGCCCTAGCATTACTTGAAGGTGGAATGAAATATGAAGATGCAGTACAGTTCATAAGACAAAAGCGGCGGGGAGATTTTAACAGCAAGCAACTCTTATACCTGGAGAAGTATCGTCCTAAAATGCGGCTGCGCTTCAAAGACTCCAACGGTCACAGGAACTGTTGCATGCAATAAAACTGGGGTGCCTGATGCGACTGCTTGGGATGTGCAGCTCACGGCAGAACCTGACTGTCACACACATTAGCCCGTGTGTCGGCTCGGTGAATGAGTCTAAAGAAGCTTCCATAGGAGTGTTGCAAAGCAGTTATACAGGCTACACACAAGCTTAACAGAATCGCAACCTCTGTGTTTGGGTTATGATCAATGTATTTGGATTATTACCACAAGATTCCTACTGTTCAGCATTTAAATTGTGCTTACCATCTGTACCAATTGAAATCATGCAATATTGAGTTATGACTTTACGGCTGTTCCCATGCCAGAATCTCAATGATACATAAGAAATTTAGAAAGATTAGGTGTCAAATACCCAGCACAATACTCTTACATTCTTAGCATCACTTAAAATCAAAATTCCAGGAACTGAGAACACTTTAGACCGTGGTTTGTTCCTTCCATCATTTCAAACATGGTCAGGCCTGTGTGGCTATTTGCCTGCTCACTTTATGTTTACATCTCACACTCTACCAGTCTGCATCAGGTTTGTGTAAGCATTAATGGTTCTTTTTGATTATTACCAAGTCTTACAGTGATTATTAAATGTCTTTCTACAAGGTTTTTATTTTGTGCTATTCTGAGAAACCTCCATTTTGAAAATCTACATTGTTACAGAAGCACATGTCTTTAATGTCTCAGACAAAAAAGACTTACAGTTAATTTAATGCTTGCACTCCAAGGTGCAGCTTAACAGGGAGGGCGTGAAAAAGGACTAGGAGTGGGCTATTCAATATTTTTAATAAAATGTTGCCTTTATCTTGTGCAGAACATGTAGAATATGCTCTTTAATTTAGTAAATATTTTTAAAAAGGTATAGATGCTTTGTTATTGTAGCTAGAACAATTCTTAATCATAAAATTTCTGAAATTCTTGTAATTTTTTTCCATACTTATCAGAAGTTGTTTACCAACTTATTTTTGTTTGAAGTGTGATTTTTTTTCTTCTCTTCCCAACCTCTTGCAAAAAAGAGTGAGTTTTTGCTAATGAATTGAACAGACATCTAATATTTTGTATGCCTTTTGAGCTGTGTAACTTACTATTTGGATACTTGATAATTTGTTTTATTATGTAATTGATAAAATGGTGATGCGTATTAATGTTAGTTCAACCATATATTTATACTGTCTGGGAATGTGTGGTTATAGTTCTGTGGGAGAAATAATTTGTCAGTGTTCACCAGCTTGTAAAAACTTAGTGCGAGAGCTTAAACATCTAAATAAATAATGAAATCCATTTATCAAAAAAAAAAAAAAAAAGAAAAGAAACTCACATCTTTTTCCCTTCCAGGAAACTTACTCAAAACGCAGTTCTTAAACTGTAAACCACTCTTGACTAATGACCCCCATCCTCAGTAAAGTGCACTGTGAGGGGTAGGGCAGCAAATCTCAGCTTCAAACACATGTAAATGATTTCCAATCTAGCATTACCCACAAGATAGGTAACCAGACAGACAGTAGGAATATATATCCTAGATCACTCTTCTTGAGACCACCTCCAAAGCCACATAAAAACACTCAATCCCTAACCATAATGTGCTTCTTTTGTAGGGGCCTGAACTCTATTTTCTCTGAGTGGTAGAAGAAATCTGTGCAAAACCACATGGCTTTATCCTAATTAACAATGATAAGTGTTAGACATCAAGACCTTCTAACAGAGTCTAGCTCTAAAGAATCCTAAGCTACCTGTAAGCCCTGCTGGCTGATATCTTAGCTTTATTAACATAAGTGACAAAGTCCTTTGCCAACCATCCTACTTGGATGTATAAGGATTCTCTCTCTTTTCCACTCTTCTTTCCCAGGGCCTCTCAACAACAAGCTTGCTTCAACTTGTACCACAAAGTGTGATTCCCAATGTACATACTTGGGTGCTCTTTTCTTGTACTTCCTGGCCATGGCTGAGGAATAAAAACTAGGGACACTGTTCCCCAGAAAGTGAAAGTCTCTCATTTACATCTAAAAAATATTCAACCCACTAAACAAGCTTTTTATAAATTATCAATCAGAAGAATTGTCAGTAAATTGGCATTTAGCCCATTACCTAGCACTTGGTAGGCACTCATTCAATAGTGAATAAATATATCAATGAATTTATATATTTTCAAGTGTTTCTGACTTTAGTAAATACAATCATGAATTTTATGGCTTAGTATATTACACTTATATACTTACATTTTAACACGAATCTTGCAGAATCTTAAGACAAAAGAAATAATTGTTGTTGAAATGCCATAGTTACTATTATTATAAGATTTCATCAGACAATTTTCACTGTCTGAAGCTGTACAAGTCAGGACCGTTAATACTAGCTTCTATGGTAAACAATCCTAAAATTTCGTGGGTTACTACAGTTATTTCATTTTTATCTACCTTGCACTGATACTGGTTTAGCCACTCTCTCAGGTAGATTTCTTCCAAGACTCACAGATCCAAGTTCCTCTGTCTGAGGCTCTTCTTCCTGAAAGGGAAGATGGAAGAATAGAAGACTCAAAGTTTTAGTGGTTTGTGTTACTTCTACTAATATTCTATTAGCTAGAATTAGCCATGATTCCACCTAGACGTGAGTGTGATGGGAAATGTGTTTTTCTTATATGTGCTCAGAAGCTGAAAGTGCATAGTTTGGTGAAGATGTTACACTACCGTTGTTACAGAGGATAAATGAGCATTTCGGGGGGTGGGGGGTAAAGAGAAAGTGAACTTAGCATTTTTACCCTGCTTCTCCTATACACTTTTCCTTTGCATACTCCACTACATCAGTTAGTTAGAATATAAAATATCTTGCTATGATATGAAAAATTGCGGTAAGCATACCATGAAAATAGACTTTGTCAAAGGATAAAATTATAATGATTTAGTTTTAAAACTTTTTTGCTTGGGTCTTTCTGGGTTCAAATAAAGAGTTTCATGCACAATAGACAAGTGCTCAGTGCTCTACCACTGAGTTACATCCCCAAGACTTTTTAATTTTGTATTTTAAGTCAGGGTTTATCTAAGTCACTAAATTGCCCAGACTCTATTTGAACCTCAGTCTCCCAGAATGCTATAATTACCAGCATACACCACCACACCCAACTACAAAAGATATTGGCTGGCTTTATTTTGCAATTCTAGAATCAGGTAACGCTTCATTCCATAAAACAAATGTTCTGTTACATTGAGTAGATTAGTCTTTAAATGAAGACTGAAAAAAGCAGAAAGGAACCAAAATTAGACTGTCATTTCACTACTACTTTCCTTATAAGGCAAGGACAGGGAGA